CACAAAAAGGGATAGAGTGAAAGATTCGGTGTGAACCACAGAAATGGAGAAATTCACACAGATTTCAGAAATGGGGGAAGCAATAGAGGTCAGAGTTCAGAGGGTTGAGAAATAGAAGGGAGAAGAAAAGAGTGAATCGGAATCTGTGAATCCGATATAGAGACGGCCGAGAATCGACCGGCTCTGACACCAAATGTCACGACCCGGGGGCCTTGGAGGTGGCCGGAAAACAGAAAAAAGGAAGAATTGCCGGAGATCGGCGGATTAGGGTTCGGGAATTGGGGGAAAACAGGGAAGAAAGAGAGAGATTGGAAATATCCAATTTGATATTAAAATTTTCCATAATTAAATTACAGACCCAGATGGCTATTTATAGTCCACCCATTTTCTAAATTGACATTCTAGTCCTTACATTTCTATTCCCTATGATTTTAGTCCAGGGGCATGATAGAATTTTGTAGGAAACAATCTCGGCCCAAAGGGCTAGCCAAACCCAACAACATAAAACCATTGTTTTGACATCTATAGTACTTAATGAAAGCAACAAACAAAAAGGACACATGTCAGCTCCACATTGAAAATTTTCCCGCCAAATACCTTTTTCAGTACAAAATGAAAACTGACACGTGGCTTCTTAAGATGCTAGATAAATAAATAAATAGATAGGTAGATCACTTTATGCTCCAGAAAAAAAGGATGGAATAAAAAAGAAAAAAACCAAACATATTCTCGGGGAAAGCCACAAACAGTAAGTTTGAATCTTGAATTGATGAAATCCCCTAATTTATGCCGGATGATTCTGTAATCCTTTCAAATTAGTTATTTCAAATCTTACATCAATTATCACTCCATCTCTTCTTAACCCTACTTCCAATTTTAAAGCCAACTAAAGAACGGAGTGAAAAAGAAATATTTGTAATAGGGGAAAAAAACAAAGAAGCCGCCGCGGAAGGAAATTACCAGTGACCGGACGAAGACGATTGAGATGGACAACGGATGAATATTAAGATTCAGTGAATATCATCAATGAAAAAGATCAATCCGCCAACAAGAAAATATACTGCCAGAAAAAAAAGTACAAATCCGGTGATGTCACAAGGATAAACAAGAGGCAGATGATGTCTAAACTTTCAAATCTCAAACGAATGTAATCATGCATACAATTGAGTTTTTTTTTTTTTGTCCGATCTGTGCCTCATTAGGTTACGAGGAAAATTCTGCAGATTCGACAACTCTTTGGGTGGTCAGTGGTGAACCTGCGGCGACGAAATAGTTTGCAATTTAGAGCTTCGGATTTTTTTTTCCTGCAAATTATTAATCGCCACCTAAACATTAGTAATTCATTTTGCTACTTAGTTTTTTTTTTTTTTGGCCAGTTTTTTATTTAGTAGCGTAGATGTTAAAATCGGGATGCCATGTCTCCCAATTTTTTTGTACAGGTTAAGTGTATCTTGAATTTCTATATTAAATATATTTAGGGACATTATCTTTTTTGATTTAGATGTACAGAGTTGGAGGCAAAAGATGATCGATGCACTATTTCAAGCAATGCACAAATGGTAAGTTTCATTCTTCTAACAATTTAAATTGTTTGATTATAGTTGCTGGTGTAATTTAGGGACTGGAATTTGATAGGCACTTGAGCTCTTATGATGTCCTTATGAAGATAGCATGGAATTCAATATTTAGAGTTGACTTTTGAAATGATTTAATGACGTGTAGTTCAAATGAATAAGGGATAAAATTTTGATGATGGATGTCATGTGTAATTCAATACTTTCATGTTTGGTCCGGGTGAAAGTAGAATGATCCTATCATTGTTGCTGTTTAAAGGGATGGCAAATTATCTTCATTCAATAGTTATTTATGCTATTAGGCAGGTTGTCATTATATATACAATTTTTCTAGGCTGGAATTTGATGTGCTAGACTGTCCCGTTTTAACTATTTTCTTTGCTCTGTATCTGATTGCATGGAAGGAAGATCTTGCATTATGAGCACAATTTGTTGAAATATTTCCAATGCAGCTGTTATTGAATTATTTCTTGAAGAGTTCTATGCAAGACATGGGAGCAATCAGTGCAAGTCCTTTTTTTTTTTTAGTCTTTAGAGATGGGCGAAAGGGAAAGAAAAAGAATAACAACTCGGGTGAAGGAAATATGCACGTAGTCAATAGTAAGAATAGAAACCCAGGGTGATCTATGGTATATGGTCTTTTCCCATTTGTAGTGTAGACAAATGAGATTTTAATGTAATCAATATATTCCTTTATAATGTGGATATTATAATATTGATATATTACTACAGTAAAATATCTTTATTATTACTAATTATTATTAATTGACGTATCAATACCATTCCAATATAGTAATTGTTTGAAAAAAAATTAATATATGAACATATTTTTCAATGTTTAAATTGTCCACATACAAAATATTCCCTTTGATTTTTGCAAATAAATCTGTAATCACTACATATATATTCATAGTGTATTGCACTTATTCAATTAAAGATGTAATAACTACATATAAAACAATATAGACACACACACATATATATATATATTTTATATAATAAAAAAACTATTTTTTCAACTAATACTAGAAGAATATCGGGAGGGTCTCGCTCGGGCATCTGCCCGGTCAAATATCTAATTTCCAATTAAAAGAGCACCATTCATCATCTTAATCATCGGGCATCATCAATTCAACTTCTTCAGGCTTTAGGCGTCCCCCACCTAGCACTTATGATCCGTTAGAGTTAGATATAGGTTCATTATCCCCGCGGTAAAGGAAGTTTTGTTACTAAACAGTATTTGCTTCCTTCGTATTATAAAAAAAAAAAAAAAAAATATTAAAAAAAAAAAACTTCTTCAGGCTTTAAGCCATAGTTTCAGAAGGTGACCCCTTCAGATTAGTCACTCAAATAACATCTTTAATTCTCTATTTTTTATATATTTTTTTTTTATAAACAGTTATGAATTTGAGAAGTTACTTACAAACGAGGACCTGGGGTTCGAGTTTGAATATCAACAAACAAGTTATTGAATAATTTATTCATTTACGTCCTTTAAGATTTTGTTATAAGACCTCCATTATTAACTAATGGATGTTAAATCCACTCCTTAAAAATGAAATTGATTATGTAATTGAATATCTTGAACTTCATCATCTTGGTTGTTGTATCACATTTACAAGTTTTTTGTTATCTTTGAACTTACTAAAAACTTTAAAATGATTATGTTTCTCTCCAATTAATATCAACCCAACTTTGAAGATAATGCACGCATCACTATCCCCAGATGATTCCCACCACAAAATCCTAGGTTTCAAATTTCAACATTGTCCGGTTGTGAGACATATACCTAATCTACCGAGCTCCATCTAGCTGGACGATAATTTCAGGCAGGAAAAAATAATTTTTTTGTAAGACAGAAGAAACAGTAATTTTCACAAAATGTTGCATATTAATTGGGGGTTTCAAGAATGACTTTATGTGAAACTCAATGGCAAGCTGTTTTCTACACCTTGTAAACCATTATTAATGTCTGGAAATTGGATTGCTGTCAGACAAACTCCGCTCCATTTTAGAAAGGCTTTCGATCTTTGTTGATAAACATTGTAAGAAACTAAAAATCATTTCGACGTCTCAATATAAAAATATATTTTTCATTATACTGCAATAATCGTAACAATTGTGACTTAATTATATTTTACTTAGTACGATAAGTGTAGGGAATTGTTCAACTATTGTACACATTTAAAATCCGGGTCAAACCAGTACACCTGTTAAACTTTATTCCAACGCTCAATCATCGTATAAATCATAAATGAAATGATTTATCAAATTCCAAATGAATAAAATTGCTCATAGTTATTTAGTAATTAAATTCATATATGAATGAGAAGTTTAAAAAAAAAAAAAAAAATACAACCTGAGAGTTGGTAAACAAACTTCATTAAGCTCAACCACCACACCATTTGGTTTTTCTTTTAGAAAACAAATATAAATAAAGGAATAATAATCGGGAAATCACTAAAATAACTCAACTTAACGTCTTTTTTTTTTTAAAAAAAAAAAACTCAACCTAACGCGTATTGCCAACTTGTTCTTGTTTTAACATGTCATCATTTTCTCTTTCTTTTAATTAAATTAAAGAAATGGAGAAAATTAAAATAATAAATTAATTACTGTCTATATAAAAACCAAAATAAAAAGAAATCAAAATCACTGTTTGAGGAAAGACAATGTTATGACATGCCAAAATAATGTGGTAATACACATGAGGTCAGATAAGACGGTGCGTTATTTATGTGATTTTTCTATCATTATCTTAATTGAAGTTAAAAAAGTGATTAGTGTTTCTTATGAAAATAATCTCATGTATGAGTCATATTTCATCTTTCTCAAAATGATTATTGTGTGAATTTTTACTTTCAATAATTTATATTAGAATTAAGAATTCAAACTTGATAACTATTTTGGGACAAGAGAATACTTAATTTGGATTAATCCCTGCTCGAACATGGGTTGACTCTCCTTGCAGAAGAAAATGTATAAACTTTAGATTATCTCCATTACATTGTTGTTGAGATGTATTAAACTCCAAATCAACAAGAAAATAAAGAAAGCATTTCGACAACCGTTAGGTAAAGTTTAATACGTGCTGGCCGTTTCTTATTTCCTCATACATGGCATATGCATTCAAGTTTAACCTTTTTATTTTGTCCAAATTAACTTTGTCAAGTCTTGTACAGCTTCATTCCACGATAGCCAGACAAGTGTTTCTTTTTTTTTTTTTTTTTCCTTTCGGGGGTATTTTTCCTACAAAGATGTCGAAAATATGGAATATGTACACGTATAGTTGCTCTCATTAATCCAGGAGATTGTAGTACTAAATAATTAATTAATTAATAGCTAAATTGATAATTGGCGTTACTTTCAATACTCACTAGTACTATAAATCCACCCTTTCGTTCACTTCACAGAAATGCACTACTGTTTTCTTCCTTCTGGAATAAAATGGCTACTCTTATTTGCCCTGAGCACCCTTCTCCTGTTGCAGATGCTGAAGCTCTTAGGAAGGCTTTTCAAGGTATACTTTCTTGTTTTTTGTTCAACTTTTCTTATAAGAGATTTTTTTTCCCACTTTTGTTTAATTTTCTGGATTATGAATATTGATATAGGGTTTTGCTTTACAGTTTCAGTTGTTCTTTCATTTTGAAAAAAAGTTTGAAATTATAATAGTAGATTGAAAGAAAACAAGGGTTGAATTGTTTTGTTTTTCATGAGTATATGTGATATGATTTCTATAATTTGTATGTTATAAATAATTGGTTTGATTAATTAATTAGGTTGGGGAACAAATGAGAAGGCAATAGTATCGATACTAGGGCACAGAAATGCGGTTCAGACGAAGCTGATCAGAAAAACATACGAAGATATGTACGCTGAAGATCTTGTGAAACGCCTTGAATCTGAATTGTCCGGTGATTTTGAGGTATATCTTTTTCTCATTTAACTGAAGTCATGGTTTTCTTTTCTTTATTCTTCTTTTTTCTTCCTTCATTTAAAAATACTTTTTTCTGTTTTAATATGATTTGATTATTTTATTTATTACGATTTTGTGTTAAGTTAATTTAAGCCACCGGCCATAAACATGATGATTTGATTTTACCAATGGGTTATTGGATCCCACAGCAAGGCAGGCTTATTTATTTAGTCAATTAATTGTCTATTTCAAAAAGACCGATTCTACCAAGGAGGGTATATATTGTTTTTATACTTCCCATATTAATTGTCTATGTGTAGTATTTGGTTAAATACTTCCCATATGTTGTATTTATTTATTTATTTATTTTTGTCTAAATCGTGAGAAAAATATGATTAAATAAGTAGTTTAAAACAGAAGCATTTGAAGAGGAAAAGGGACAGTTAAGCGATTTGATTTGTATACAGAAAGCTATATACCGATTGGTATTAGATCCAGAGGACCGGAATGCGGTTCTGCTTAATGTCGCAATCAAACAAAAACCAATCCCAGATTACCGGGTAATTATAGAATACTCCACCATTTACAATCCTGATGAGCTTTTGGCCGTGAAACGTGCTTATCAAACCCGTTACAAACATTCTCTCGAAGAAGATATTGCTGAACATACCACCGGTGATCTTCGCAAGGTAAAAAATATACACATTATTTTCGATTTTCGATATATTATTTTTTGCTTAAACTAAAATAATACACAGGTGTTTAACGTTTACCACATAGTTTTTAAGTAAGAATGACAGGACTTTATAAGTTGAGGTAGCATTCTATATATCTATAGTATTATGCTAAGTGAAAAACCAGAGAGAGAAAATAAAAAAGAATTCTAAAGGTGCCACATAGGATAAAATCCTATGTGTCATTTTTCTAATGGTTGAGTCAAAAAATATTTACAACAATTATACTAATAGTCCTTCAAATTTTATGTAAATAAAGTTTTATCAAATGGCATTTAAAACTATAGTTTAAAATAGGAAAATAAAAATTAATTAAATTTAATGGACGAGATTAATAAATATTAATGCACCAGAATTATTTCCTCCCGAAAAGAATTTCCAAAGTTGCTACTGGACTCATTTAATTAATCTCTCTCTCAAAAAGAAAATCTCCCTCCCAATCACGTAAATCAATAGACTACAATTCCAAAAAAAAAAAAAAAATACCAATCATTCAACATTAATGTTATCTTTAAAATCTTCTCCCAAAAACATGACCTTATATTTTTTGCCAATAAAAAAGGAAAAAAAGGTACAAAATTTGCCTTCAATTATTACTAAAAGGATGGGATAACTATAATTAAATGTTATCTTTTGAATTTCAAACCAATGCATTTATTTGTGTAATATCATATCTACCCAAATAAATATAATCTTTCCTTAATAATATCTCAAAAATTGTTATAAACTTTATCTTTATCACTAAAATTTTAGATAATCAATTATCATCAATCCCAATTTATCTCTATTTATACATGCCACACAAACCATGAGTATGTTCCAGTGCTGCAAAAATTTTCCCCTCCCCAAAACAACCGGAAATCCAAAGAGGAAACTTTAGCCCTACAGTTAGTTTGTTGTTTTGAAAGTGATGAACTAATAGTGGGTCGATTGTGTAGTGTGAGAGGTAATGGTTAATTAAGGTTATATATGATTTTTTTTCTGTATATTCTTCTGCAAAACGATGTTTTAGGGTTCTTTTTTAGACGTTACTAAATTTATGTTTTTTTCACCTATAATTTCATTATTTCATTAATTATTATTTTCTATTGTTATAGCAAAAAGGGATTAAAGGACAAAAATTTTAACTCTACAGTTGGTTTGTTGTTCTAAAATATTAAGTATTGGGCCAAACAGTACCATAGAATCTTTAATTACAACAAAATAACCATAAAAATTTTAAACTTCACATTTCAGTCACACATAATCTACCATCTACTATTGATAATTACTTCATGATGTATTTTACGTGTATAATCATTTTATTTTTTCATTCAATGTGTAACATTAATACAATCTTATTTATTTTACTCTGCTTATGAGTGTTATTGTCCAGTTCTTCTCCTTCAATAAAAATCAAGTGAACACTTGCATTTCAAATGATATGCATTATTTTATCTTTACAATTACGCCTTTATTTAATTTTAGTTGCGTAATGTATCTTCATATGGACTCCAAATATATTTTACACTTTTTATATTTTTTTTGTTGATTTTTTATAATGTATATAAATAAGCCCCGCGCATCGCGCGGGTTTAACATCTAGTAGGTAATTAATTTAATTGAGTGTTAGGGCGAACTGCTAGGAAAAGACAGTAGCCAGTGGATCCAAATTTTCCTAAATATTTAATAATTATATTGTGTGACTATATACTTTTTTTTATGTTATTATTTTTTTCCTTCAAGCTTTTGGTTGCTTTGGCAAGTCCATACAAATACTTCGGGGATGACATCAACGTGAAATTAGCAAAAGTCGAGGCTGACATTCTCCATGACAAAGTTAAAGACAAGGCTCTAAACGATGAAGAGATTATGAGAATCATTAGTACAAGAAGCAATGCTCAAATTGTGGCGACTCTGAACAACTATAAAGACAACAATGGCGTTGCAATCACCAAGGTAATGCTTATATTTTGTGACATTTTTTTGAAGTTGTTTATTTTGAACATATTTTTATGATTTAATTAAATTTTCATGAACATATTTGGTTTTAAGTAGGCCTTTAAGGATGATCTGGAGAATAGTTACCTGGCAGCACTACTTTCTGCCATCCGGAGTATCAATAATCCTCAAAAGTACTATGAGAAGGTACGTAAAAAATGTTAAAGACTCCTCTCTTCATTTATTTTCTTTTCTCTTTGTTTTTTTTTGGGGAAATAAAAAGTTAATTTAAATCTAAAAAATAATACTCCTCCAGTTTCATAGTAAAAATAAAAATGGAACATTGATTAAGAATAGAAACAAAGATTATTTTTGTATTGATTTGCTTTGTTTGCTTTTAATTTTTTTGAGTAAATCTTAAGCAAAGCCTTTTGTACTATAAATTTTTATAGGAAAATGATATATAAAGTAATAAAAAATAGTGACAAAATATAGTGACTGAAGTGGAGTAATTATAACTCCCTATTTTTAGTTACTTAACCTTTGTATTATATCTTTTCCTTAAAGTTACATTTGTACCCTTAATGAACAAGTAATATATTTAGTAAATGCATGTGCTGTATTTGTCTTTTCATTAGTCACTATACAATTTCACTGTAATTAGTCACTACCCCTATCATTGCTCATTTTTTATATTAGTAAAATTAGGGGATTTCCGCTAAGTACAGTTCTGCTTTTGAATAAAAAAAAAAGGTAGTTTGTTCATCTACTTCTTTCTGGTTACATGAGCCTTTTGTATCAAAATAATTGTTATATTTGATTTTTCACTTTTTGTAATAAATAATAAAATAAAAATTCAAATTGGACAATTATTTTGGAAAAGAGGATAGTTTCACTAAGAAACGAACGTTCTTTCAACTCTAATCTATCACGTACCCTCTATGCTTTATGTTTTTTCAATAAGAAAATCAGAAGCAATTCTAAAATAAAAACTTTTGAAAGGAAGAAAATTTTGTTAAAAAAAAAAGTAGAAGCCAAAGAAGAAGTTATCCTATTTTGGATTTGTATTTGGGCATCGTTTGATGAGTAGAACTAAATATTAAACTAAATATTCTGAATTTTATTATTTAAAAAAGAAAAATTAATCATAAAAAGGATTCTTGACTAGATATAATGCACAAAAGTACCCATAAACTTTGTTATACACCTTAGTTGAACAAAATATTTTTTTTAAGGTGAAGGATGAAGTATGTAACGTTAAATATGTTGATGCCTCATTCAGTGGTTGCTAATGTAATCATATGTGTTACTCGTACAGGTACTACGAAACGCTTTAAGCAAGCCAGGGACAGATGAAGATGCACTAACCCGAGTCATTGTTACTAGGGCAGAAAAAGACTTGAAAAACATCAAGGACTTATATTACAAGAGAAATAGTGCAACTCTTGATCATGTTGTCGGAAAGGAAACTTCCAGTCATTACAAAGCACTCCTTCTGGCTTTGTTAGGGAAAGAAGACTAACTAGAAAATCGGTATCTTATTTCTAAATAAGTGCTCTTTGCACGGTTTTTGTTCGACACTTTGTGTTTTACTATTAAAACTTCTATTTCTCCATAAGTTCCGTTTGTAACTTGATTGCAGTTTGTCTATTGGCAATAATGCTGAAGTTTTTTTTTTTTTTAATTAATCTAAATTGTGCTTCTAAACCTAAAGCCTCATTTTGTTATGAAAAGTGTGATAATTGAGAGAATATACACTATAATTTATTCTATTTTTTAAATATAATAGTGATGGTGTATTTCTGACCATGGATATAGATATTTTAATAATCGAACCATATTAAATTGTATTTTGTTTGGTAGTATAATTCCCGTGACTGTGTTAAGTGCATGCAAAAAGGGCTCCAATCCCCAAATAAAATTCCCAACAATCAATTGTCTAATACCTACTGGTAATACTACTTTTAATTTTATTAGCATTTGCAAGCTTGGAAACTAAAAAGAAGCAAATTCTTTTGCCTCAAAGGTTTTTTTTTTTTTTTTTTTAAAGAAAAGGTGTACCAAATCCCTCTTGATGGCTGAATTAGCTTACTACTGTGAGCCTTCATTCAAAAAACTAGTGAGAGAATGTCCTTTCTTTCTCCTTGTTGAGAAAGAATTTGAAAATTGACAACTTAGGATCCCAACAAAATTTAGTATGAGGCTCTTCATCTTCAAAATCAACACATAACAAAATTCATCACGTGTGGTTTATATCAACTACCCAAAAATCAAATCCTTTGCTTCTAAAAGGGTGATCCCCACTGGAATCCTTATTTTACTATACCAAACTCGATCAATTGCTTCCACTTTTCAGATCTAAGTGCAATATTTGTCCTTATGCGCGCAGTTCATGCCACTTGGTCTCCATGCAAAAGAATTCAATTTCTTATTAATTTCCTACTTCTCCTTTTTGAGAAAACCGATACTAATCCCCCTTTAAATCCAATTCTTTTATGGTTTTGCTCTTCTAGAGTCCCACAAAATCCTTTGCCTTTCTTCCATTCCCCATTTTACAAAAACCGAAAGCATTTCTAGTTCCAATGTTACTTGATTAGAGTTTGGAAACTAGTGTAGTAAAGGCGTTTGTCTTTTAGAGTTTAGCATTCATTACTGAGCCAAATACCAACCTTTCCTCTTCCTTGTTTTTATCTATATTCTCTGCCCTTCATATTCCGTTTCTCCTTTATATTAAAGCACATCTGTCCAGATATGAACTTTCTGGATTTTGTTCTACTTCATTAATGTTTTAACTTATTAAACCCTACCTCTTTTGGCTTCATCCTATCTCATTCACGATGATTTATCGACATGCAATGGATGAGGATTCTGTGACTGCTATGTCAACTAAGAATTTGAATTTTTAGAGAAAGAGCATGATTTCAGACATGGTGTGGATGCAGATCCGCATACGATCCCTCTCCCTTATCTCCGTTCTCACTGCACATAACTGACGAATGCGCAAACACATCTATCCAGGGAGAATATTAAGTTGTCTCTTCTAGGATATCTCATTGATGATGTTGAAGTGGATGACAGGGCCATGCAGAAATATATGATCAAGAATTGGCCTTTATGCACCCTGAACCTCCAATATGATAGGAATTTCTTCATCATCAAGTTTGCAAGTAGATCTGATATGCTTGCTATTCTGGACAACGGTCCATATGCAGTCAATGGTGGTTTCCTTATTCTCGGAAGAATCTGCGACCATGAAGATCTCTCCCTGGACAGTATTCGGATTGACAATCTCATCATATGGTCAGAATGCATGGCGTTCCTATTACTACGATGAACTATCAAGCAATCGAAGATCTGGTCAGCAGAGGCGGTGAACTGTCTAGGATTAAAGCAAACTCTGTCTCCCTGAAAAAAGCAACTTATGTCCGGGTCAAAGTTTGGATCAAACCAGGTGATCCTCTTACTCCTTGTTTTTATTTCAGGAGAAGGGATGGTAAATTGGGTAAGACTGTTGCAAATATGAGCATATGCACAGGTATTGCCAAAGGTGTGGCCGCCTGGGACATCCTCTTCAACGATGCTACATGATAGAACCAAATGCTCTGGAACAATTTCTGGATAGTTTCTTCTCGGCACAAGCAGCGAAGTTCAATACACCAATGCTGTTTGATTTCACTCAACCCTTGTATACAAGCTCCCTCAGAGCACATGCACACCAGAAGAAGCGGTCTACTAGGCTCCCTGAATACAAGGTTAGTGCGATGAAAGACTATTATAATTCAATTCCTAACCACTATGTTCAGGATGGTTTCATGATTTTGAGGAATGAGGAGCCAGAGCCAGTACCATTGTTTGGAAACCAGAATCAAAATAATGACAATGATGATAATGACTCCAATCCAAACAATGGAGGTGATGATGAAGATGATGATGACTCTGATGGTGGAAATGATGATATGCCAACAAATATTGCGGACTTCAATGCTGACAATTTCTATCATGATGATGGTCTGGCCAACTCTCTACAAGCCTTCTTGCAGAATGAGCTTTGTAATAATAACAATTTTTATGATCCAGAAGAATGGCAGCACCAGCAGCATCAGTCGACTATCTCTCAGACGCTAAGAGTTCAAATGAAGGTAGTTTTCACTCCTTTCCAACAGTTTAATCTTCTATAGATAATGACTCCTATGATGAATCTTTGGAGATGGATGCTGAAAGCCAAGGTGTAATGCCTTCTTCATTTTCTTTAATCCCTAAAAGTCCTCCCTCAGAGGACATGATGCATGATCACCACCTTATACTAGAAGTTTTTGCTCCTATTGTACCTGATGTTCCACGAGCTAGTTGTATTTCGCCTCTCTCTGTGTTAGATAACAATTGGTCTGATTCTGTATTTACTGCAAATGATCTTAATCTGTCTAGGGAAGGAAGTGTTCAATCAGGTATAAACAACAGGGGATTCTGTATGCACATCTCCTCCTCTGATGAATCTGTTAGTCTAGACAAGAAGTATAGGAATAGCCTTAAGGTCAAATGTAACAGGATCAAGAAAGGAAGGAAGCAGAGATTCTCTCAGGATCTGCCAAAATCAGTGTCAACAGATGATGACTCTGCAATGCAGTCGGGTGACAAAGACAATTGCTTTATGAAGATCAAAAGAGTTGTTCTCTGAATCGGATCTCCCAGCATACCATCACTCCCCGTGAAGGAATAGGCCGATTGGAAGGAAGCAAAAAGTTAAGTGTGTTAAGGCTGGAAAGAAGATGCAGCCATAGAAGAAGAACTCAGTAGCATGGATCATGAAGGTGGGCAGTGATTGCTCCATGGATTCCGATTCCTCCACTTCCAGCGAGAAGAGAGTCTCTGATGATTCCATGGATTTGAACACCAGGCCAACCAAGAAACAAGCACACCAAGGTTCTACATAGATTGCTGAAGGTGCAAGCAATACCTCCCAGGTCCAGGATGTTGAAGACCTGAATAAACAGCTCATGAGTTTTGTGGTGGTTGAACCAAATCAACCGCCTTCAACTCAATGAATATCCTCTCCTGGAATTGTAGAGCCATTAATAGTGTTTCTACTTAGCATAATGTAGGTAGACTCTATAAGTATTATAGACCTAAGATCTTATTTCTTATGGAAACTAAAGCAACTCGTGCTAGTTTAGATGTTTGGTAGCAGTTTACACCTTTCAAAAAATCTTTTGTGGTTGATCCAGAAGGACTTAGTGGTGGTCTTGCTTTATTCCGGTTAGATGATGTGAACATTAGTATTTTGATGCATTCTAGTAATGTAATAGTAGCTAGGGTTGCGGAGCCCACAGGGACAGTTTGGCTTGCTATTTTTTTGTATGGTCTGCCTTCCCGCCAAGGTAGATCAAAATTTTTGTTGCAGCTTAATGCCAATTTAAGTCATTTTAGTTATCCTACTGTCATTTTAGGAGATTTTAATCAGGTCCTTACCCAAGAAGACAGAAGTAGTGGAAGACCAGTCAGAGATCAAGATACCAAACCAATACACCAGTTCCTCAATCAACATGATTTGAAAGAACTTAAACATATTGGATGCTGGTACACCTGGTCTAACAAAAGCAAAATGAGGATGCAATTTTTGAGAGATTGGATAGAGCATTTGTGAATAAACAGTGGTTAAGTCACTTCCCTAAAGCTTTGATTAGGAATCTGCCAATAATGATGTCGGATCATGCTCCCATCTTAATCCAACTTAAAGACAAGAGCAAGAGAACTAGAAAACCAAGGTTTGAACAGGTTTGGACCAAATGTTCACAACCTACCTCTCTCATCCAAACTTCATGGCAATAACAGAATCTGCATATAGATAACAAACAAGAGCAGCTCTCTTACAAGTTGAAATCAAGTCTCATTGGCTTACATAACTGGAGTAGAGAAAATTTTGGTAATTTGGAAAAACTAGTTACCAAACTCACAGCTCAGCTTACTGAAATACAAATGCAATGGGAAGCAAATACCACTAATGATGTCCTTACACACAACTAGAGTCAAAGAGAAAGTAACTAGATGATGCTCTACAATTCCAACAGGACTATTGGCATCAGAGATCCAAGCTTATCTGGCCTTTACAGGGAGATAGAAATTCCAAACTCTTCCATAAATGGGCTACCAGGAAGAAAGGTAACAACTGGATCACTGAACTTAAATCCTCATATGGAGATTGGGTGCATGATTAGGAACAAATAGCTGAAGTCTTCCAAGATCACTTTGCTACAATCTATGGTGTCATAGAATCTAGCTCCCAGATCCTGCTATCCTCCCCCTTCTTTACGCAATTTTTACAGAATGTGGATGAATGCCTCACACAGGTTTAAATCCATGCTCTAGAACAACTATTTGCCACCTAAGAAGTTTGGGAAGCAATCAAGAATATGTCTCCCTGGAAATCACTAGGTCCTGACAGCATGCCAGCGTGCTTCTATAAGTCTTACAAGCATATCATTGGTTCTAACCTTGAAACCACAATACTGGAGCAATCAACCAGCAACACTTCCCCATAGAATGGAATCAGACAAATATTGTCTTAATACCAAATACACCAAATCCTGCAACTCCAGGTGACTTTAGACCAATTAGTCTATGTAATGTCAACTATAAAATCATTACAAAATTGATTACAAATAGACTGAAAATGGTGATATCAGACCTCATCGATGATCATCAAAATGGTTTTGTCCCTAGGAGGAATATTAGTGAAAATATACTATTGGCACATGAGGTAATAGAACATATAAAGAAAAAAGATGGAGATCTAGGCCTTGTAACTATTAAACTAGATATGAGCAAGGCATATGATAGAAATTCTTGGCCTTTTCTTCAAGCTGTTCTCACCAAAGCTGGTCTACCAGGTACTCTGGTCAATCTGATAATATTTTTACGTCACTACACTCACTTATTCCATCCAACTTAATGGAGAAGGACTTCCTTACTTTGCCCCAACTAAAGGATTGAGACAAGGTTGCCCTCTTTCTCCTTACCTCTTCATCCTATGCCAACAGGTGTTATCCTATGCATTTCGATTTGAATTAAGTCTTTTTCCTGGTTTGGGTATTAAAATCTATAGGAATACACCCAGGCTAAGTCATTTACTGTATGCAGATGATAGCTTATTTTTCATAGAATGTAGAGAGTCTTCTATTCAGGCATTAACAGGCCTCATTGAGCATTATGCTGCATTTTCTGGCCAGAGGATCAATCATCAAAAGTAATCTACCCTGCTCAGCAACAACACTCCTCAGCACCATAGAGAAGTCATTCATTCAACTTTCAACATTCCACAAGAAACGTTCCAAAGCAAGTACTTGGGACTTTCTCCAGACTTCCAGGAGAAGAAAAAGGTCATCTAATGACTTCATAGAACGTTTATCAAGGAAATTTGCAGACTGGAAGACCAAATCGTTAAGTTTTGCTAGACGAGTCACCTTGGCCAAAGCAACTCTGTCAGCCATGCTAGTTTATCCAATGGGCGTATTCAAACTCCCGGCATCTACATTAAGGAAAGGTGATAATATTATAGGCCAGTTTATATGGAAATCGGATCAACAAGCTAAAGGTATTCACTAGCGAGCATGGAAAAAGATTGCAAAGTCTCAGTTCCATGGAGGTCTTGGTCTCAAAGCCACTAATGAGTTCAATCAAGCCCTCCTGGCCAAGCATGCATGGAAGATACTTACACAACCTAATGCTCTTCTATCAAAGGTATACAGAGCCAAGTATTGGAACTCAGAGTCTTTCCCACAATCCCAAGTACCAGGAAATGCTACCTGGGGATACAAAAGTGTTTTATGGGGAGCAAGGCATCTGCACAACAATACAAAGTGGAAAGTGATATCAGGGAATGAGATTAAAATCTCGGATGATTGGATCCTGAATCACCCTAATCCAATTCAGAGTGATTCCTTCCTAGCAGCTCATTCCAATTTCATGGTCAAAGATCTTTTAGTTCAAATGGTCAGTGGAAACTCTCATTCATCAAACCATTTTCCTAGATCACTTGATTCCCTATATTTGTGGAATTTTCATTGATCCTTCACGCGGCAGGGAAAGGGATAGACCACAATGGGTTCATACAGCTCATGGTAACTATACAGTACAATTAGGCTACCATACAACACTTAACATATCACATGAGTCTCAGAATCAAGCTCGAACCCTCAACCAAATCTAGATACATATAGAACAAACAGCTTGGAAAACATTATGGAATTCAAAGACACAGCCAAAACACAAATTCCTTTTCTGGCGTGCAGCACTAAATGCTCTTCCATCTAAAGAAGGCTTATAGAAGAGGGGAGTTGAAATAGACATAGCTTGCCCAAGATGCTACACAGGAGTAGAAGATAATCTTCATCTGTTCTTTAATTGTCCAATATCTCAGGCTATTTGGAGTTTTGCATATCCTAAATTCCAAACTATTCTGGATGGCTCTGTATCTTCTATTTTTAACTAGTATGTACACTGAATTCACACTTCACCAACCCCGCAGGAAATAGACCTCTTCCTTCTCATTTTTTGGAGAATATGGTTGGAAAGAAATGACAAACTATGGAGAAGCCAAACTATGGATCTAGTAAATACATGGAGGTTGATTCGACAAGACATTCAACAACATCAGTGCATCATGAACAGACCAACACCGTGTTCTATCAGTCCACAACTCCCTAGGCTCTACACAACGCTATGCTAAAATCTTATTTGATGGCTCTTTTAATCCCCATACAAGAAAGGCGCCCGGAGCATGGAAGTTGACATCCTCGACTGATCAACTAATGCAGATTAAATCGGTTTCTCTCAACTCATTATCTCCTTTCCAAACAAAAGCCATGACGTGTCTAAGGGCTTTGCAAGAAGCAGAAAATCCAGGCATCTCGTGTGTCCAGGTTTATACTGATTGTGAGCAACTAGTCACGAATTAAAGTCCTCTATCCCTCCCAAGCGAGGCTCAGGAAATTGTTAGACTATTACGCACTTTAATTTCCTGTTTTCAATATTGCTGTCTAATTAAAGCCAATCGTTCTGAAGTTAGTGATCTACATAATCTTTCATATGCAAAGATACGATGTAATAGTATAGGTATCTCATAATTAGTAACAGGTACCATTTAAAAAAAAAAAAAAAAAAGCTTTCCACTGTGGAGCTCGCACCATGCGAGGCTTTCACAGGTTTCTTCTTGCGAACACAGACACACACACACACACACACACACACACTCACGTATTCATTTTATGTATGAAACATCTAGACTATCAACTTTTTCGTTTGGCACACTTCTTTGTTTTTTGCCTTTTAGTGTCTTTCTCAGCTCCGACACTACAAGAAAAAAAAGCTTTTCATGACATTAAAAAGTGTAATTATAAAGATGCTATTACCACACTGGACTCTTTAAGGACGGCTGTTTCAAGCGTGATCTATGCTCATGTGTTGATAGGTATTGAAGTTATAAGAATATTTTAAAATATCTTTATAGATAGGAAAGTCTTACCGCAATTTTTTACTGAGATATTCTCTCACCACATTTACAAGTATCACGAGAAATTTTCCAAAATCGGTCATTATGAAAATGGCTATTATTTTTTTTTTTTTTGCTTTTTTTTTTACAAGATCATGTTCTTTTTTTTTTACTTATAAGAAGGCACAACG